TGGGGATCACTTGCGGTCGAGGATCGTTTGAGGTCCATTTTGGGGATCATTTGCGGTCTCGGGATCATTTGCGGTTGGGGATCATTTGCGGTACTGTACATCACCTTCTCTAACCCGACATGAGATGTACAGGCGTGAAAACAGGGAGCAGTTGCTCTTTAGTGAAGCTATTTTCATCTTATCCTTGGTTGTCTCTTTAGGAGCCGGAGGACTACTAAATAGCTGTATCTTGTTTCTCTTGATAACATCGAAAAGCGAGATTTTTCGCTCATCAAGCCTGGTTGTGCAAAACTCCTGAAATTGCTTTTGGCCTAGTTCCTCTACAGTTCTAACTGATTTCACCACTGTGGCATCCATAATGTCTCGCGTATCTAAGATGAGCAAGTCCCCACTCTGGTCTAAGAAAGGGTTACCCATCTCACTAATTACATTGGAAAGTGATTGGACCTGACTTTGGAAAGTACTTTGAACTCCTCTTGTTTCTTCATGGTGTCGATGCTTTCTATCATCGGATGTTGATTTTAGTAATTCCTGGGAAACCTCGAATTCGTTAATGATTCTAGACATTTCTGGCCCTGACACCATCCAACGCATTAATTGAGTTGGGCTCTCTGTAAAATGGCACCACCATCCCCTCTCACAATCTTATTATTCTGTTTATGGGCGTGGTCAATGGGTAGTGCAGAAAATGACCGGTTTGTCTTGTTCACCACGAAATGGCCTTTCCTGAATTGAGCAGTCAAATTGGGTAGTTTCGTGTTCACGGACTCCATGTCGCGAGTGTGGACGGGCAGCCATCTAGCATAGTTTGTGCGGTCTAACGCAAAAAACCAGGGTGCAAGTCTTTTACATGACTCTTTGTATAGTTCGAAGTTTCTCTCTCGAAGAGACCTTACAAATATTAATATGGTAAGCTCAAAGTGAAGGGTGAGAGACCAGTAGTGGAACTGAGGACTAGCCAGCTCTGCTTGCTTGCGCCACTCCATAAACGTTTTGGGTTCTTCTTCTTCAGAGATGTAATTGCAGTAGTGCTTGTATGCCTTGTCCATCAGTATGTACAAAGCACAAACAGTAATCTGGTGGGCGTGTCGGGTGCGTGAAACGTGGGACGCCTTGAGAAAGGAGTCGGCTGTTCCAGGAGTTGTTATGCCCGCTTGCACTAGGGCGCTTGTCCAACCACTACCCTCAATCCAGGTCCCCAATGCCTTAAGAGCGGCAAGAGCGGCAGTATGCAGCCCTCCAAACATCATAACTATGCTACTTTCTCCATACGTGGATGGCCAGTTCCACTGAATCTTCTTTGCCATTGCATAGATTGGCTGATCACAAGCAAGCACAGGTGTCTGCCCAGGATTAAGATAAGTGACCGCCTTAATAACTACGTCCATTGTATGACAAATCATAGCTGGGGAGGCAGCCTCCTCTTGAAAGAGTGGGAGCAGCGAGGTGGTATCCAACTGACCTGGAGGCTGGACTTGATTTGCGTGATATGCTGCCCATGAAACTTTCTTTATCTCTTCCGTTATGTCTTTGTTAACCTCGTCTCTTACATGTTCCAGCCATTTATACTCCATACTAAACGCTTGTGTCATTTCAGGGCAATTGCTCACAAATGGCACTTGAAGAGGCGGCACAACGGGTTCATTCTTGGGGAGAATGACGGGCTTAACAAGTGTGTAAGAATCCGGAAGTTGAGAAAGAAGCTTTCTCTTGGAGGGCTGATTGTCTATGCTAACTACATCCCGCGCTTCACCTGGTGCATCATCAGATGGGTGTTGGAATAAAGATATTCCTGTTCCATGGAAGGCACCTTGAGCGGTTGTAGATGAAGGGTTATGGTCAATGTTATCCATGGCAGCTGTTGTAATACTCCTTTATTAAGCTTGGGCGGGCAAACAATCCCTTCAGACTCAAACCGCGAACAAACACTATTGCCCAAGTCAGTAGATAATTCTAGCACCCTGTCATACGAAATTGACAGTCCAAGACTATAGAGTTTGTCGACCAGTGTTCTCTTTCTTGTTTCTGCGTGAGTCATGAGGCCAAGATATATTGGCAGTGGTGGTTCGCGATCTCGAGAGTGATAATAAGCTGAACCAGTTGCTTCACTAGAACGACGTCGTATGCTGGTATTAAAAAGCATGAGTTGTGATATACTTGGTGTAGGCTGCGCATCACTCACACGACTAGACGGAGTTTTGATATCTGTTGCCTTTAAGATCAATCCTATTAACGTTTTAAGGGACTGTGGAATTGATTCTTGTTGAGAATTTTTATCAAATGTTCCACTGAATTGCGTCTTCCTGGCTATTATATCTCGACGAATGATCTTGCTTGCTTTAAGTAGGATTATTGCTTCATCATCAAAATCCCTAAAGCGAGTCAGTTCGAGGGCTTTGCCAACATCTTCACTGAATGCCATCACTATGTCTCGGCCTTTCTTGTGCGCCTGCAAGCCTGGAACATTTGCTAAAATTCTCTCCTTTAGGTCAGTGGAGTGTACTCTACCCGACAAATCGCTACCATAGTGTTTCAGGAAACGGGTGTACATGGCTGTAAGCTCTGCTAGCGTAAACACGGGAATGCTATCCGCGGACTCTGCACGAGTTTCTTCAAGATAAGCGACGAGCTGTGCTAGAGCCATACCCTGGATTACCTTCTCATCACTGCTTGCAGGATTCTGATTTAATCTCTCTGCCTTGTTATAGAGCAACACCAGGCACTTTGCATGATACACGGCTTCCTGAGAGATCAAATCGCCGGCACTTAGTTTTGCGATTAGGACCTCATCTTGCAACTGATGTGCACACTCTCGCACCCTTGCATCTACATTAAAAGTGGACGCTTGTTGAAGTGTACCTGAGGCACCGGAGCAGAAAAAACAGCTTACTTCTTTAGTCATCGAAGATGCTACACCAGAGCTTTGTCTAGTGAATTTAGACTTTACTTGAGAACTTGGCAAATCATCTTGAATTTTCCTTTTTTGTGCTCTTTTTAGCTTCATGTCACTAAATTTGTTTCTACACGTTTTATGCCATTTCGCTCTACGCTTCATCAATGTTGCAGGTATGCCAACACCTTCATCCAACTTTTCTATATCTAAATATATTGGCATAAACCCTAGCTCACTGAATTTGTGAATACTTTCAGCTAGAGAATTATATCCTGTTCCATATTCGATATCTGATCTGCGAGAATTCCCCGGACATTGGAGCTACTCTTTCGTTGTTTCCTGACACAAAATACATTTTTCCCAGTCCAAGGAAACAGTATCTTCGTCTTGTTTGGCCATCGAGGATATGTCAGACCCAAATACAATAACAATGAGTACGCACACCAGAAGAATCATGTTACGTTGGTCTGTATGATCAAAGCAAAGAAACGCTGATCAAGGAAAGGTACTGAGCGACAAAAGGAGTCTTCGAATAAGATTTATTATACTTATAACTACAATGAAAATGGTTTTGTTTCAATTTATGTTAAGATTGAAGTAAACTGAAGCCGAACTGCTACAGGATCATTTCCTGCACGAGGTATTTATTGTCTTGTCAAAATTGTTTTGGTTTGCGCCTGAAATAAGATCCTGTTAAACAAATTTAGTAGGATATTGTTTTTCTTACCTCCATTCTAGCACTGTGAAAGAAAATACGTTGTAAGGAGCACGAGAATCCTGAAAAATCAGCTTGTTGTTCTTAACCAAACCAGAGCTTTAAGAACTGTAAGTTCACTGTGAGGATGGTAACCAGGCTTGCAAGGTAACCACGCCATGCACAGGCTACCCAATGGTAAAATAACGTGATAGGGCTTACAGTGTAAATGATGGTTGTTTAAGGATATTTAAACGGTGTTAATATCAATCGTTCGGAGATTTTAATGGTTTCATCACTTTAAAAAAATTATTAATGCTTGATACTTACAAAGTGAATTGTATTTTTTTCTTTTTTGCATTTCCATGCTTAATGTTTTCCTGCGGTTAGTGTATTACTTTTTCATACCTGAAAATGACCTCGGAAAGGTCAGATCATCGTACCTTTAAATCATTGACAATTATTATGAAATAAGAAACTAGCAAGACATTTGATATCATCATACGAAGGCTTTTGAATGTGCTGATCCGATGTAAATTACTTCTTTCCAGCCAAAATAATCCTCTTTAACCTCATAACTTGTGGCAAAAACCTTTTTGGGCTATCAATTCTCATTTGTGATCATTTTTGCGTCTCATGTACAACACCCTAACAAGCAATCTTGCAAGTTTTGAGTCAGCCTCGTTTTCATGCTCATCAACCGGTGGGTGACACTTCTACCTTAAATTATGCAAATTAGGGGGCGGATCCCGGGTGGGTCCATAGCTAAAATTAATCAACTAATGTATCTCTAACTGTGTGCCAAATTTGCAGCTTTTACCATAAATCCCACAATTCACCTAAAATTTTGCACCAATCTGCTGGACTATTATTAGGGACTTTAAGATCCAACGGCGCGACGGCGACAAGAACGTCGCTTAAAAAGTGAATTTGAGTTTTTTCAGTCTTTATAGCGATTATTCCTACCCAATTACTTTGTCAATTGTAGGCGAACCCTCCTGAAGCTGAATTTCAAGGGACCATATTCAAGCTCAGAAAGAGAAATAAAATTTCGTCGTTGCTTGTTTACGTCCTCCATAGAACGCGAAATTAGGCATTTTCACGTCGTAGTCGTGCAAAAACAGGAAATAAATGAACAAAAAGGTGTGTTGCACGTGCGAAGTTGTTGTTTTGCTAATTAAACCTATTGTTTTTTTGACGTTCTAGTTGTCGTCCACGTCGTTGGATCTTAAACTCCCTAATTGTACAAACGACCGGTTTCAATAGACCGGCGAAATTTCTCATTTTATTAAAGCACTGAGGTTACGACAATTTCGAGTTAAACTGATTTCACGGATTGTCAAAGAGTCCAGCGATTCCTTTTTCCCAGGTGAGCGCCGACTCATTTGCTTCAATATTCAGGAATGCTCTCGATCTTTTTACGCTTTCATTGCCTTTCGCCCGACATGTTTTGCACG